ACAAAACACAAGTGAACTTGGAATACAAATAAGGGAAAACAAGAGTAATCAACAGGAACAGGGTAGGAAAGAACAACTAAGATTGAACATGTAACACGTTAAGGCAAGGTAATGGCAAAACAAAGATAAACACAAACAAACGAAAGTAGAAAGAAACGAACAGAAACCAACAAAACTGAAGCTATACGAAAATACACACACACAGAACAAAAACAAACCAACAAAGCCGAAGCAGAAGCGAAGGGAAGCGATAACCAAAGCGAAATGAAGCAAAACCAAACGGGACGGAAGTCAAACAAAAGGCCTCCCTTCCTGAAAACCTCCATGTTATATAGTGAATAAGATGAAGTCTGATTGCCTGAGAGGCTGATTGATTATGACGTCATATGGAACAGTGGAGTAATAGTGGGCCAATAGGGAAGGGAGAACAATCAAAGGTCAGCAGTGTTGAACATAACAAAAAAAAAACATACAGACCACACACTGGAACGTAACAAAGACTTTGATGCTTTAAATGTTTAGGGAGAAATGGAATACTAGTGTGTATTTTTTCTTTAAAATACCAATACCAGCAGTATACAAAGATGATATGCCTTCGAGATGATATACCTTGTATTTTGATAACCCACACAGTAAGGTCTGCTGCCTGTATCCAGGCAGACTGATATATGTTTGGTGCACAATTTATGTTTAATAAATGTATCTTGTGAATCCGTATGTGTGTGCATTGTTAGTTGTTCTGGCGATTGATTGTCTAAAAGCCATAACGAACCTCCTCGTGATTAGTGCTACAATTAATAATTGGTAAAATCATAAAACCCCTACAAGACAGAATCCATTTTTTTCTCTCTCTTCTGGTGCAATTTGGGTGTTAACAAAATGTGTTTACAAAGAAAGTGGAATACAGTAATATTCACAGCTATATAGATACATAGATTTAAATATTTAGATCCTTAAATTAATATCATTATTAATTTCTTTAGATAAGTGATTCCATATTATATTCCCGATTATAAAACAGATAATTTCGGTCTTGAAATCTGATTGTCTTACACACTTCTGAAGCCGTGCCATATTCTCTGTTATCTGCACACCCCAGAATTTTGACTTTTTACAAGAAACAATTGAAAATTAGCGTAGATAAGAAAGCATAGATAAAAGCTTGGATTCTCATGTATCTGATGCACGTATCTTTTTCTGCTGTCTTTGTTGCGCTCTTGAGGATCCTTGTGATATTTTGAGCTCTCGTTGATTGAGTTGATAAGTGTCGCATAGTTTAAATAATTTTCATTCTTAGAAATTATGAAATGCTCGGTTAAAAGCAAGGGAGATTATGTCTGTTATAGTGGACATAAAAACAAGGGTTTGCTGCGGCATTATTGGAAACCCAATTTTAACAACAAATCGCTGGCGTTACATCCTATAAGACACAGACCAGTGCCAGCGGGAGCATGCCCCGAGCATAAAAGAAAATACCCGACGAACTAGGGATTGGACAGTTTTTCAGTGTTTGTACAATCGATGGAAATGTTCAAATAAATGTGCTAAAGAAAAAAAAAGTCATTTATTCCTTTATCATATTGGCTAGCTAATATCCTCTCTTTGCTAGTTAGTGGCTGTGTTTCTGCATTGGGTAGCAACGAGGGACTATATTCTCAGGCAAAGGAACATAAACAGCTAAATTTTCATGTTAAATAAAATTTTTTGAATTAAAATTCATTCTATACAGCAATCGCATATTTGGGGACCGTTTTATAAAACTTTGATGCTTAAAATGTTTAGGGAGAAATGGAAGACTGGTGTGTATTATTTCTTTAAACTAACAAGACCAGACATATACAGTAAAGTTTACATAATATGTTTATGTTCCTAAATTAATATTGTTTATGACCTTCAGATGCGTTATGCTCCTCTTCTTTTTATGCTCAGCTACTAAAAGTTCCCTTCAGTGCTAAAATTCCACATAAATATTCAATATTATGTGGATTAAAATGTGCACCGTAAAGAGATTAAATGATTAAATCTTTTCACTACCGACCACTGCACCACGAGTGCCCCTGTCGGTCATTTTGGCCAGTCAATCACGTACTGTGGTATGCTGCGGTGGTTTGTGGGTAGATGCATGCAGTACGGGTTTGTACCACAAACTTTGAATGGCTGCATCTGTAATTACAGAATAAGTACACTTGTGTCTGTGGTTGGTCAGACAGTGAATTTCAAGGTAAGACTCAACTATAAACAATAAAGGTATTTTACTTTTATAAGAACAAGTAATAGGTTTATTCCATGCTGAAAAAAGAAGAAAGAGAACACAATGTTTTGGCCGTGGAGCCTTCTTCAGGTGTCCCTTCAGTGGTAAAATTCCATATAAATATTCAATATTAAGCGGATTAAAATGTGCACAGTAAAGAGATTAAATGATTAAATCTTTTCACTACCGACCATTGCACCAACTGAACAGGCAATCTGATTTTACCAGCCATGTGACTGCAAGCAGTTAAAGTCAGGACTTTTCACAAAGATGTCAATCTGAGAGAGTGTCGGTAAAGCACAAAATTCTGCCTAAGATATTTTTTTGGCAACAGAAGAAATATTCACCTTATCAATTTAATAAGACAGTTGGACTTTTCTTTGTTAACATCCTGAATATCCAAGTACAGATGCAGCCTTGTGCAAGGTGTCAGTAACCACTGTATCCTGGCCAGCAGCGCATCATGTTTTTTTTTTCAGATTATCTGATGCAGAACTGCACTACTCTGCCAGTAAAACTGCCAGGTGGGGCACTAAATCATTAAAATACCAAAGCTCCATGTGGTCAGACAAATCAGTACAGCATTAAATATGTAATTCTTGTACTAATTATACTATACACATATCAACAACAATTTCATTAAATACAATGATTACATTGCTGAAACAGGATGTTTTTAACATTTTGCTACCACAAATACAAATTAGATACAGTATGTCACAATACTGTACAGATGCAGCCATTCAAAGTGAACGGTACAGACACATACCACAGATAATTGGCTGCGGTGTCGCGTATCATGACGTAAGATGACGCGGGGTACCGCGGTGCATGATTGGTTGACCGACAGGGGCACTCGTGGTCCGTTGGTCTGTCATAGAAAGACTTCCTGTAAACGTCTTTACAGTGCCCGTTGTAGATATTGAATTTTACCACTGAAGGGAAATCTTAGTAGCTGAGCATAAAAAGAATAGGAGCATACTGTAAC